AAAACTCCTGGAGGATATCAAGGGAGAGATTGACAGCAGTACAATCATAGTAGGAGACTTTAATACCCCACTATACAATTGGACAAATCATCTAAACAAAATCTCAGCAAAAATCATCAATCCTAAATGACAAATTAGACTAGATGGAATTAATTGACATCTTTAGAACATTTCACCCCAAAGCCACAGAATATACATGCTTCTCCAGTACACATGGGTCATTTTCAAAGATAGACTATATATTGGGTCATCAGCAAAGTCTATTCAAATTTTAAAAGATAGAAATCATATAAGGCATCTTCTCAGAAACAGTGGCATAAAATTGGAAATCAACTACAATAAACAAAATCAAATACATGGAGACTAAATAGCATGCTATTATACAATGACTGGGTCACCACAGAGATCAAGGAAGAAATAAAAAAAACATCATGGCAAGAAATTATAATGAAAAAACAACCATCCAAAATCTATGGGTCACAGTGAAAGAAGTCATCAGAGGATAGTTCGTAGCTCTACAAGCCTACTGGGAAAAAAAAAGAACAACCCACTCATAATAAATTATCTAACTCTACAACTCAAATTGTTAGAGAGAAACAAGAAAACCCAGTGTAAGCAGAAGGAAGGAAATAATAAAGATCAGAGCAGAGATAAATGACATAGAGATCAAAGAAACAATACAAAAGATCAACAAAACCAAGAGCTGGTTCTTTGAAAGGATAAACAAGATTGATGAACCTCTAGCCAGGCTCACCAAGAAGCAAAGAGAGAGGACCCAAATACACAAAATCAGAAAATAAAGAGGTGAAATAATAACAGACCCAGCTGAAATACAAAGGATTGTTTAAAAATGCTACGAACAATGTTATCCAACAAACTGGACAACCTGGAGGAAATGGACACATTCCTAGAAAAATATAACCTTCCAAAACTCAATCAGAAGGAATCCAAAAAGCTCAAAAAGCAATAACTATGGAAGAAATTGAAACAGTCATCAAAAAAGTTCCAGCAAACTAAAGCCCAGGGCCAGAGGGCTTCACAGGAGAAATTTACCAAACATTCAAGGAAGAAATAAAACCTATCCTCCTTAGACTATTCTAAAAAATTCAAGAGAAAGGAACAATTGCAAGCACCTTCTATGAAGCCAGTATCATCTTAACACCAAAACCAGATAAAGACAACACAAAGAAAGAGAATTACAGGCCAATATCCCTCATGAACATAGATGCTAAAATCCTCAACAAAATTCTAGCAAATCGCCTCCAGCAGTACATCAGAAAGATCATATACTATGACCAAGTAGGATTTATCCCAGGAATAAAAGGATGGTACAATGTCCACAAATCAAAATCGTGATATATAACATAAACAAATTGAGAGATAAAAATCATATAGTCATATCAATTGATACAGAAAAAACATTTGACAAAATTCAAGACCCTTTTTTGGTAAAAACTATCAACAAGATGGGAATAGAAGTATCATACCTCAACATAACAAAAGCTATATATAATAAACCCTCAGCTAACATCATATTCAATGGGCAAAAACTAAAATCATTCCCTCTAAGAACAGGAACAAGTCAGGGTTACCACTCTCACCACTCCTGTTAGACGTAGTACTGGAAGTATTAGCTATTGCAATTAGACAAAAAGGAAGAACAAAAGGCATCCAAATTGGAAAAGGAGAAGTAAAGTTGTCCTTATTTGCAGAGGACATGATACTGTACATAAATAACCCAAAGGACTCCATCAAAAAAACTAATAGACTTAATAAATGAATTCGGCAATGTAGTAGGATACAAAATAACGCCAAGAAATCTGTGGCATTTCTATACACCAATAGTGAACTTACAGAAAGAGAGACTAAAAAAAGCAATCCATCGCACTAATAAATTAAGATATCTTAACTAAGGAGGTAAAAGACCTATACCTGGAAAACTACAGGACACTGAAAAAAGAGATAGAGGAAGACATAAACAGATGGAAGAACATACCATGTTCATGGATTGGTAGAATCAACATCATTAAAATGTCCAAACTACCCAAAGCAATCTATAGCTTCAAAACACTCCCCATTAAAATACCAAGGGCTTATTTCACAGACCTAGAAAGAAATCTCCAAAAATTCATTTGGAATAAAAGAAGACCCCAAAGAGCCACAGCAATCCTGAAAAAGAAGAATAAAGTAGGAGGGATCTCAATACCAGATTTCAAGCTGTATTACAAAGCCACAGTTCTCAAAACAGCCTGGTATTGGCACAAGAACAGACATATAGACCAATGGAATAGAATAGAGAAACCAGATATCGACCTTAACCACTATGCTCATTTAGTACTTGATAAAGAATGCATGAATATACAGTGGAGTCAAGATAGTCTCTTCATTAAATGGTGTTGGGAAAATTCAACAGATACATGCAAAAACATAAAACTAGACCACCATTTGACACCATACACAAAAATAAACTCAAAATGGATACAGGATTTAAACATAAGACAGGAAACCATAAAAATATTAGAGGAATCCACAGGCAGAAAATACTCAGACATATGCTGAAAGAACTTCTTCATTGATACTGCTCCTAGGGCAATGGAAGCTAAAGAGAAAATAAAAAAATGGGACTATATCAAAATAAAAAGCTTTTTTACAGCAAAAGAAACCATTAACAAAACAACAAGAAAGCCCACTGTATGAGAGATCATATTTGCAAACGTTATCACTGATAAACTTTTTATCTCCAACTTATAGGGAATTTATACAACTTAAGAGGATTATAAATGACCTAATTAAAAAAGATGGACAATGGATCTAAATAGAATGTTTTTGAAAGAAGACAGAAGGAATGCCAAGAGACATATGAAAACATGCTCAAAGTCACTACTTATCCGAGAGATGCAAATCAAAACAACAATGCAGTACCATCTCACACCTGTCAGAATGGCTATCATCAACAAATCAACAAACAACAAGTGTTGGCAAGGATGTGAAGAAAACAGAACCCTCATGTACTGCTGGTGGGAATGAAGACTGGTGCAGTCACTGTGGAGAAAACAATATAGAGCTTTCTCAAAAAAGTAAAAATGGAACTCCCACTCGACCCAGTAATCCCATTTATAAGAATATATCCTAAGAAACTAGAAATACCGATCAGAAAGGATATATGCACTGCTATGTTCATAGCAACTCAATTTACAACAGCTAAGATTTGGAAACAACCTCGGTGCCCATTAGCAGATGACTGGATCAGAAAACTATAGTACATCTACACAATGGAATACTATGCTGCCATAAAAAGAAGGAATTCTTACCATTTTCTGCAACCTGGATGTAACTGGAGAACATTGTACTAAGTTAAATGAGCCAGGCAATGGATGAAAAATTCCACATATCACTCATTTGTGGATAATATGTAACTTTATAAACTGATGAACAAAAAGATAAATACAGAGGCAGTAAAGCATCAAACAGACTGTCGAATTACAGTGGGAAGTTTAGGGAGAGGTGGGTGAGATAAGAGATCACCCAAAGGACTTGTATGCATGCATATAAGCATAAGCAATGGATGCAAAACACTGGGGGGTGAGGGCATGTATGGGAGTGGGTTTAGGGAGGCAATGGTAAGATAAGTACAAATATATTACCTTAATTTTAAAAATGGATAAAAATTAAAAGTAATTTTATGAAGTTAAGGTTATGTAATATGTCCCTTCTTTTTTAGTTTATATCAGAGCTACTACTACATTGTAAATGCCTTCAAGGTACAGACATCATCTGATTTGTCTTTTTTAAGTCAATGCTTCTAGGGTGGTGATTACTTGGGGAAAGGGGTGAAAAGAGGAGGGGAGGAGGGGGAGAAAATCTAATGCTATCAACAATAAAAAAATGTATTTAAAAAAAGAAAAAAAAAGTGTGGTCAAATTGCTTGTGTTTCATATCCCAGCTCCACTATTTCTTAACTGCATGACCTTTGCAAAATATCTGCTCTGGGTCTCAGGTTCCTCATTTGTAAATGTAATAATAATAATAGAGCCTACATCACGTGGCTTGAATTGTTATAATTAAATGTATTACACATACTGAATTAATGTATGAGTGTGTCTTCATATGTATATATACATACACATATATATGTATCAACTCATATGCACATATACACTGAGTGGTCAGATTATTATGATCTCTGAACGCATAATAATCTGGCACTCAGTGTATATCCTATATAATAAAAGGCTAATATGCAAATTGTCCCCTTAATGAGGAGTTCAACCAGCAGGCAGGCTGGCCAACTGCCCATATCCCCTCCCCATGGCCAGGCTGGCCAAACCACCCCATGCACAAATTCATGCACTGGGCCTCTAATATATATATATATATATACTGAGTAGCCAGATTATTATGCATTCAGAGATCATAATAATCTGGCCAATCCGTGTATATGTGTGTACATATATACGTATATGTGTGTTTGTATACACATTTATGTATTTTAGAAAACTGGAACAATGTAAACATTCTATAAATATCAATAACCACTATTGTTATTATTTTGCGCAACAAGATTGAAAATGTCCTTCCAGCCTGTCAAAGTATAGTGCACCTATTTTGTGGTTTTTACCAAGCATGAAGACATGCTTAGTTGCTTGACTTTTTAAAAAATTCTAGTTGATAACTGATTAGTAAAAAATTTAATTAACCATGTAAAATACATCCCATTAATTACACTGTTATTTGTCTCTCAGTTGTAGAAATTAGTTTCATTCTTATTTCACTACATTTAGTTGAAATCAGATAATTATAGATATCATTTCTGTATTTTTTTTGTGGTTTAAATATTTAATTTTTTATGAAAACAAGTTTTTCAGTTGACCAATGATTAGCTAATTTCTGATTGTAGAAAAGGAAATAGGTTGCCCCAAGTTGCTATTTTCATTTCCTCATGGGAGGAAGAAGCACAGCAGAGAATAAAGGCTAGACACAAGCATTGAACCTCTGCCACCATGGGAAACTGGGCTGTGAATGAGGGTCTCTCCATCTTTGTCATTGTAAGTACTGATGCATTATGAATTCTATGACTTGTCTGAGTTCTCTTGGGAACTAAAATAGAGTAAAGTTTTTTTGTTTGTTCATTTTATTTCTTTAATAAATTGTGTTGAAACTGACCTACTGTGTGAACATGCATCCATTTGCAAGTCAACTGAGTCCATTCTCCCAAGCTTTCTCTTGGAAAGAATGTAACTATGGGCTCCCTTCACCTAGTTTATTTCTTGAGTATTTTGGAGAACTAAATTATCCAATATTTCACATAGAAAGTAGAAGATATTTCATGTTAATGATCACTGAGTCTGAGTTGTTTATTAATGTTTACTCCAGAGGCAAATTTTTACTTTTTATGTGTTTATACCAACTCAAAAATGAGCAATTGAAATTTTATATCACTTTCTAAATAACAACTACAAAACTGGCTCATCTCTGAGAAATTGACCTTTAATTCAGGAATTACAGCAAAAGTAATTAACATTCTTATCTTTATTTTTTTAAGTGCCTTCTTATCTCTGAGGTAAATTAAGTTATTTATAAAGTTAAAGAAAGGGAATTGAAATTATATATCTAGACTCATATATACATTGTATATATAATATATACTATATATGACATTTTTAATCTATCGATATCTTGAGAAATTATTTTTGTAAGTAAAGATATGGCTAATTTCCAAATATAGATGTTAATTTTTTTATTTTTTAAAGTAGCAAAGATCAAATATTATTTTATGGTGGTGGTCTCAGCAAAGCAATCATATACAACTGGGAAAATAGAAATGTGACTTATAACTATAACTTTTCCAAATACCCAATGAAAGCATTATATAGATATTAAAAGAACTCATAAATTGAACTTTTGAAAGAATGACAGTTAATTTGAATATTACTCTTTTTTTATAGCACACCAGTGTGTCTTTTATAGCACCCCAATGTGCTGTGGCACACCATTGAAAATCACTGAATTAAAGACATTTAGCTGATGAGACTCCCACTAGCTGGGGTGGGATGCTGTGTGGTGGAGGGAGGTGATTGGCACCTATGAGAATAGAACACAGAGTCCTACTGGTGTCAGGGACAATATAGCAATGTATTTATTTCCCTTCTCTTTTTAAGAAAAGTCATGCACTATCATCTATCTATCTAAGGCTAAGCAGAAAAGAGGAGAAGTTATTATTAGTCTTGGCATACTAGCCAAGTAGTAAAACAATTATGTGGAACAGCACAGGGAGCAAGAGTTAATTACAGGGAAGTATAGTGTCACTGCCCTAGAAAAGAGCTGGTTCTAAGATGGTTTCATCCGGCTTTGTAACCACCTGTGTCAAAGGCTGGACTTGGGGAAGTCCTAACCCTGGTCTGTCACCAATATTGAGTGAAATCCACCTGTTGGTATGTGAAAACCTCATGCAACTATTTCTGTTTGTGCAGCTGGTATGGCTGGGCATGAACGTCTTCCTCTTTGTCTGGTATTACCGAGTTTATGATATTCCACCTAAGTTCTTTTACACTCGAAAACTTCTTGGGGTAAGTATAAGTTCCATCTCATGCAATATTGAATAGCTCACATTTTAATCAACTATTCTTGTTCACATTCCTTTGAAATTTTTCAATAAATATTCTGACTAACCCAAATAGCACTATCAACCTCACTTCCTCCATTGCAATCCCCCTAGACAAGAGTATTTTTTTGTTTGTTTGTTTTTAAAATATATTTTTATTAATTTTTTACAGAGAGGAAGAAAGAGAGATAGTTAGAAACATCGATGAGAGAGAATCATTGATGAGTTGCTTTTTGCACACCCTCTACTGGGGATGTGCCCTCAACCAAGGTACATGCCCTTGACCAGAATCGAACCCAGGACCATTTAGTCCTCAGGCTGATGCTCTATCCACTGAGCCAAACCGGTTTCGGCTGGACAAGTTTTTAAGTCTTCTAGTATGGGACAGACAAAAGTGTGGCAGGGGTTCTAGCAGCATTCCTCCTCTCCCCAAAACTTCTGGACAAGTGTTTAGCTTAAAAGAGAAATCTAATACTGGCTCTGGAATGGAAGGGCAAGTTGGAGAGATATATCCAGGCATGACACAATTGGGACATGTGGAACTTTTCATAGGATTCTTACCACTTTTGTGCATAGAGAGCCCTAATCCTAGTGGAATGTTATGAAATGATCAGAAGGAAATATTAATCTCCCTATATATAGAGCCTTTGAGGGATTTGCCCAAGAATCACATTCATTGATTAGACCAACAGAATAAAGGTTCCCAACATTCCTTGGATCCATTAGCATTCCCAGTTTCGTTGAACTGCCAGGTCTTTTCTTCATTAAAGATCAAAATAATTACCACTATAGCTGCCCCCAGAGGATATTATTTGCTACATCATGCTGAAACCATGAATTTATTATTTAATAATAAAGCTAATTATAATATGTATTATAAATCATACATATTAATAATTATATCATTATACTATATTATTATGGTTGTTGGTATCTTATTCAGGTTGATGCTGAGAAGGGTGATTTCTCTTCACTTTCCCCCTCCAAAATATGCAACTTCTTTAGGTATTTCAAAGAACAATTATAAAGGCAAATCATTATACAATATCAACGTAAGTTACTGTTGAGGTTAGTCTAAGTGCTAAGAAAAGACTCTAACAACCCCAGTTTCTACACTGAACTCTAGTTAATGATATGCATGCTTAGTATTTAGGGGAAGTGATCTAATGTCTGCAATTTACTTTGAAATGCATCAAAAGTAAGATATGTTGATGGATGGGTAGATTGATATATAGATGGATATATATGTGATAAAGCAAGCATAGTAAAATGTAAAAGATGTAATCTTGGAGATGGGTAAACAGTATTCAATATGAAATTATCTAAAATTGTCTTTATGTTTGAAAATTTTCATTTAAAAATGTTTGGGTACTGGATAAGGGCCAGATTAAAACAAAGGTTTCCAGCAGGCCCTAAGGGTAAACCTTCCTTTCCAAGTAACTAGATCTCTCATGTGTGGGTCTCATGCTGGGAACCTTGGGGGAATTGAGGAGGTGTTATGTGCTCACAGTTATCACCCTACTCCATCTTCTTCCTCTTTTAGTCAGCACTGGCCTTGGCCAGGGCCCCTGCGGCCTGCCTGAATTTCAACTGCATGCTGATCTTGTTGCCAGTCTGTCGAAATCTGCTCTCCTTCCTCAGAGGTTCCAGTGAGGTAAGAACAAACATTTACAAAGTTTGAGTTCCTTAAAATCTCAAAGGCCATCAAGCTAAGTAAGTGTCCTATCTTAAGAAGAACAAATCAATAGTTTGTTAGGATTTTGATCTCTATAGAATATTCATGAGCCAAGCCATGCTTGATTCTATAGTTTATTTCTATATTAATTGTTGGTGGAGCTCCCTGGGACACTATTTAATCTGAAAAGGACATTAAAAAACACACAAAAACAACCAATCAACCTATACCTCAGTAGTAACAATAAAACCCATGTGCATGCACACACAGAGACATACAGAATATAATATGTAGGTATATGTATTTAAACACAATTTTATGAGGCTGATGTGAAATGTGGAAATTAATTTTACAGTGCCATGCTTTTCAAAGACAGAGAAAATCTCTTTTGTGGGTAACATTCCAAGCAAATGAAATCAATGGGCAATGAATCATATTATAATGAATGTGATGAAGAGGTAGGTGTTGGGTCTGAGGAGTTGAGGAGTTCAGGGCCTTCCAATTGCCTGGGGCTCCATTCACTTTCAATTCAACAATTTCATGAGCCCCTGAATGTACTATGTTTGAAGAAAAAAGAGATTATATAGAAAGAACTTTTGTAACCTATAACATGGTATATGAATTTCTTATTAATATCATTATACAAAGATGAGAAGCACAGAACTTAGAACCTACACATGGTACTCAAATAAATGGGTCCCACAAAAAAAAAGTTACAAATAAAGAACTACAGAGAATCAAAGGAGGGGGATGTTATATCAGAAGGGCAAAGGATGAAGAAAGGCTTTCTGGGACGGTTGCATTGGATATGGGCATATAAGGATAAAATAAGCCTCTAGGAGAGTTAAATGAGAGAAAAAGACTTTCTACCTGGAGAACATGGCAAGAGAAAAAGCACAGGAAATGGTGAGGAAATTGTATTCTTTTTTTTTTAATTTCTTTATTGATTAAGGTGTCACATATGTGTCCTTATTCCCCCATTACCCCCCTTTCCCCCCCCCTCACGCCCTCACCCCCCTGGTGTCTGTGTCCATTGGTTAGGCTTATATGCATGCATACAAGTCCTTTGGTTGATCTCTCCCCCTTATCCCCCACCTTCCCCTACCTTCCCTCTGAGGTTTGATAGTTTGATTGACGTTTCTCTGTCTCGGGATCTGTTTTTTGTCATCAGTTTATGTTGTTCATTATATTCCATAAATGAGTGAGATCATGTGGCAGCAGATGTGTGGATTAATAAAATGTGATACATCTACACAATGGAATACTATGCTGTGGTAAAAAAATATATATATAAAGATCTTACCATTGCAACAGCATGGATGGAACTGGAGAGCATTTAAACCACACACACAAAAAAAAACTAGAGAATTTATATGCTAAGTGAAATAAGTTATTCAGAGAAAGGAAATTGTATTCTTGAAATCCCTGAGTAAGCATGACCTCTGGCTTCCCTTTGGACATTTTTGCCATTCCTGATCACATCTGAATAGCTCTTCCAAAGCTGGGATTGATACACTTATGGGACCTATTCTACTAACTCAGCCTCTGATTTTTTCTCTTAATAAAATGTATGTTTTTAATGTTAACTAGTGTTTTTTTTTTAAATGACTTATTAAGTACAGATAATTTCTATAGGGGAGCAGCAAACAATCTACTTTGAGGGGAATGTAGGGATTGTAAAGGGCAGATATATGGAGATAAGACTGATGTGGTGGGGACAGACGCTGTTGTGCTAGCACATGACTGAAGTTAAGTGTGTAATTGTCCAGGCCTTGTCATCAAGCTCAGCAGTCTCAACACTACATTTTAATGTAATATTTTAAACTAGAGGCCTGTTGCATGATATTCATGCAAGAATAGGCCCCTGGCTTCACTCCCAGCTGCCTGGGAGCCAGCAAGTCCCTGCTCCCCACCCCAGCCGCCCGGAGCTGGCAAGTCCTGTCTGAAGGACTCCAGTAGCTCCCTCAGACTCCTCCCTTGCCCTCATAGCAGGCTTCACACTGCTCTGTGACTGCATATGCAAATTACCTCCATCTTTATTGGGTTGATTTGCATACTCACTCTGATTGGCTGTGGACATAGTGGAGTGGTGGTTATTTGCATGTTTCTCTTTTATTAGTAAGATGTTCTTGACAAAAATTGTTTGAGGTAGCCTGAAATAAAGTCTATGTGTGTTTAAAAAAAAAAAAAAGACTGATGTGGAAGCTGGAGCTTTGCTGGTAAATTAGAACCTTGAATGTACAATTGAGGAGTTTAATACCTAATTTGGCAATCACAGAATATTTTGGGGAAGGAAAGTGGTCTAAACTGTCAATAACAAGGAGAACTTGACTTGAATCCTGCCTCATTTTTCCTAGTCATACTAAATTCACATATATCATAAGGAGAATTTTTAAAGAACAATACAACACTCAATTTACTAATATAGGATCAGGAGACTATAACTAAAGTAGACATTGATTACAAATATTTCCAAATAATCTCTTCAGCAGAAGAAACCATAGAAGTAAAACTGCATTTGCTTGAAAGTTTTATTGATTAGCCACAATGTCTGATATACCATAGGCATCCAGTGAACATTTGCTAAATGAGGCTCATGCTCTGTAGCTTTTTATTTTTAAGGAGACACAATTAATTTTTATTCTTCCCCTGCCTCCTGTTGGAATAGTGTATACTTAGAGGAAGTAAGCCCTGAGAAATGGGCAGTGTTTTCACCAGGATGGCCTGTTAGGAAATCCTTGTTTGTTACCCCACAGGCCCAAATTGCACTGCCTTTCAACTGTCATGCCCCATGAGCAATGTCTGTTGTAATGGCCAATTTTAAGCTTCCTTTGGCCCAGGAAGGAATATCCTCATGAGGGTCTCTAAAGACAGGGATAAAATAAGGCTGCTCTTCAAATTGCAGAGAAGCTCAGCTCTGTAAACAGAAATACCTGTATGTCAAGTAATATATGTTGTTTAAATTAGCAACAAGAAACATTATTTTACAGATGGAGTGTGTCCCACCTTCTGGGTCTCACAGCTTAAAATGTGAACTTTGTAAAGGAAACTTGTTTTTCTGATTGGGATTAAAGTGAGTGAGCATATTGTGACTAATGTTGAAAATCATAATTGCTGACACTTATTGAGTCTCCATAGACCTCACCTAATGAAATATGTATATTAAGCCAGTGAGGTGAGGATGAAATTAAGTGAAAGTGTTGGAATTCAAACCACAGTCATTGTGTCCCCAGAGCCTATTCACTTTCCTACAAGCCACTTAAACTCAAAACTGTCCTATTTTGATATTATATTCTTAGAAAGTTATTCATATATATTAATGATTGGAGCATGCTGAATAACTTAGGCTAGAAATGGTAAAAATGTAACTTTAAGGATTTGTTAATAGAACACTGTAATTTGTTAACAGTCACAAAACTTCTATTTAGTCTCTAGTGTTTTTATCATTTAGACTTTGGTTTATAATATTTCTGGTTACCTGGAGAAAGAAATATGCATGATTGACACACCCCAGGAAAGATAGGGGTGAAAATTCATCCTGTTTTATTGAGGAAACTGGGGAAGGATAGGCCTTAGCATACAGAAATCCCCAAAATGTTTCAAAATGATTGTCAGGAAGTAAAAATGAAAACAGTGTGGCAAGTGTGGATATGTGGGTGAATACATCTGTGTAGGTTTAGAATAATCATCTTAGATTCTAGTACAGTGAAAATGTAATTCATTTAAACAAATAATAATTAAAGGATTTTTTTTTTTACAAAGTACATGACATACCGTTCTGCATACAGGAAACTTATATTCTAGCTGGGGAGCCAAGCCATACTAAATGAAAAGTTAAATAATGGTACAAAAAAGCAAATATGTATCAAACATCACTCAATGAATCTATGAAAAGACTGAAGAGGAAATAACTATGATAAATATATAGGTAAGGACACTGGTAACAGTGTAAATTGTTCAACATCTCACAACTAGGTGGTAGGCCTGGGATACAACACAGATATATCTCATAGCAAAAGTTGCTCTCTGAAATGTAATTCAGTATTGCTTTCTGACCCTACTAATTTTCATTTTCTCATTCATAGATGTCCAATTATGTACCAGCATGCCAATAAGCACTGTATTAATTATCTATTACTGTGTAACAAATTTTCACAAACTCAGTGGCTTAAAACAATCCCAATATTTTAGCTCCCTGCCCTGCAGGTCAGAAGTTTACCTGTGGTTTGGGTTCTCTGCTCAAGGCTGGAACCAAGATGTTAACAGGGCTGAATTCTCATATGGAAAGTCTGGGTAACAATCTTCCTCCAAGCTCATTCTTGTTACCAAAATTTAGTTCCTTGCAGTTGCAGGACTGAAGTTCCTAACTCCTTGCTAATGGTCTTTCAAGGGCTGCTTTCAGATCCTAGATGTCCCTGTTTTCCTTGTCATGTGGCTCTGTAACTACAGATACAGCTCAAACTGTTTGTAACAAAACCCAGAACAAAAGTTTGTACCATTTATGAGTAATACTTAGGAATCTTTAACTGCTTCCTCCCCATAATCCTTTTGATTACGTAGAGGGGAAAAAAATATTCAATATTGGCTCACCCTAGGAAAACAAAGGACCAGTACACGACAGCAACCTGAGCACAGAAGTGAAGGGTCCGTTGTCCAGGAAGATGTGGCATTGAAACCCCTTAAAATCCTATCCTGAAACCTGGATCAGGGAGCCAGAATTGAACCTTTCCTCATGTCTCAGTGCCAGTTTACTCAAAGATAAAAGCCTTTTTCCCCCCTCAAAAGCCAGTGCGATGACTTCTAAGCACATTGGACAGCGATCCCTTGCTTGGTAACACTCTCCTCCATCTTCAAGTCAGCAACAGTGCATCAAACACTTCTCATGCCTCTAATCTCTGACTTCTTCCAACTCTGACTTCTAGACTGAGATTTAAAGAGCTTTGGTGATTGCGTCAGACCCACACAAATAATCTCTCTCATAAGGTCAATTTGGGACTTTACCTCTGCAAAGTCCCTTTTGCTATATAATGTAACAAAATCACAGGAATGGCACCAATCATATTCATAGGTCAGGTTCTACCCACACTCAAAGGGAGAAAATTATATAAGGTCCTTGGGGATCATCTTAGACTTCTGCTTACTACAGGGATTTTAAGAAACAATTTGGAAATATGACAATGTATTTCATAGATATGTCCTTAAAATTATAAAGAATACAGCACAGAACTTGAAATAAACACAAAAGACAATAAGGTTACATAAGAAAAAAAAGGACAGTCAGATTTTCACCAACAAAAATGTAAAATAACTTATTTTAAATAGGAAACCCTTGTTTTGAGAGCCTGGATCACTGCTGAACCCCACCCATATTCCCTCCACATTGACAGTTCCACTAAATGGGCAACTGCCTTCTGGAAGCCCCATTCTCTGCCTGAGGATTTTCTTTTGGCCATTTCCTGGGTGACATACCAGGGTGTTGATGCTCTGGGTACAGCCCTCAGCCAGTGATAGAAGTTGGTGGATGAGTATCAAGTTTCCTAACCTTTCAGGAAAAAATAAATAACACAGAAAACAAAACTGGCATGTTCTACAGTCTCCCAGAGTTCCCTTACAAGAGAGTTCACTGACATATTATATGATAGTGGTAGTTGATATGACACATCCATTATAGGTTTTCTTTTTTTCCCAGTCTTCCCCTAACCTTGTTTTCTGTGATCACCTTCCAGAATTTACACTTAAATTCTTGTCTTTTTTTTTTTGATAGGTAGAATAATAATGAGTATAGTTTTACATTTGGTTTGGTGGAAGATGGATGAACCTTTAATACAATTAGATGTAGATGCAAGGAACATGAGAGTTAGTATTAGTTTTATTATCTGTAAAATGAGAATAGTAATAGTAATCTCATTGTATTAAATGATGTAATGAATATGGGTAATCTGCCTGGCTTACAGAAGCCCAATTACTTGTTCCTTTTTCTGGAATCCTCAACGTCTTACTAGTATTTCTGCAGTTCTAGGAATCTGCTGTCCTGGTGAAAGTAGCCTGTCCTCCTTATATGTAGCTAACTGAGAGATAGTGGAGTAAGCACAGTTTTCATCCAATTATATTTTTTCTATAAAATCAGGACATTTTATTTAAAATAATTAAGCCTAATATTATACACCCATATATTTAAATTGAATAATATGTTTAGAACCATCTATACTAATTAAAGGATAATATGCAAATTGGTCAGAATACCCTCACAGTAACAACCAAGCAGCAGGCTGTGTGGGGCAACAAGGCCAGCAGAGGGGTTAGTGAGGGACTACCAAAGGACTGAACAACAGGCTGAGTGGGACGACAAGGCCGGCAGTGGGGGGGGGGGCAGTTAGGAGCGATCAGGTAGGCACACAGGTGAGAAGTTAGGAGCCAGCAGTCCCTGATTGTGAGAAGGATGTCTGACTTCCCGTTTAGGCCCAACACCTCTGGGATCAGGCCTAAGCCAGCAGTTGGACATCCCCCAAGGAGTTCTGGATTGGAGAGGGTGCAGGCTGGGCTGAGGGAGAACCATCACTGTGCACAAATTTTGTGCACTAGGCCTCTGGTATATTTGTAATACCTAAGGTTTTGTTTGTTTGTTTGTTTTTCACTTCTTTCTGCTCTCTTTAAAAGTTCTATGAATCTCTATGGCAGTACATCTAGTAGAAAAACAGCATTAAGGAGAAGTAAAGACTATAATATGCCTTTTTACATGAACATCCACTCATATAGGGAACAAAGCAGCCACAGAGTTCATTTGAATGGTTTTCAGAGGGTAAAGCTCTGATTCAAACATAAACCAGGTTTTGTTTGGGATTTTTTTTCCCTAATTTGGGCAATGATCTGAATCTAGATTCAAATCCACATCTTCTTACATATGCTGGGAGAACAGTTACACAAAAGTGTTGAACAAAATGCTATTTTTAGTGCCCAGTTAATCATATAAGGTATGGGATATCAGAATATTTATATCTTTGACATCAGACATTCTGAATTTAAATCCCAGCTCTGTCACTTATTAATTATGTGACCTAATGCAAGGCAACCTTTCTATGCCTTTTTTTTTCTCATCTCTTTTATAAGGATGGTACCTCCCTGATAGGATTGGTGTAAGAATGAAATGACTCAATGCATGTAAAACAATTAAAGCAACTTCTTGCATAAGTTCTTTGTAAATATTAGCTGTTGTTATTTGTGCTGTTATTATTTGGTTAATCTACTCTCCTTGTGATGTGATCTATCAACATAGGCAGGTGGACTATTTTTTTTCTCCTTTAGTGCATATATTAGAATGGTGTTGTTCTAAAGCTATTCACTTGTTCTAGAACTGTTCATTTGTCTGTGTCCCCATTAGACTGTCAGGTCTTTGAGGGAAGGCCTGTCCTTTGCTAATTTTTATATCCTCTGTTTATTGAATAAATTATTCTGTATTATAAACTATATGGTTAGATAAGTTTTCTATCCAAATTCATATGTTATACAACTAAGCAATGGATTCCAGGAGAAACTTTTTAGGCAACTAGTAAGGGAACATAAAACATATTGGTTAAGCCAATTATGCCACTTACTGTCCCTTTGACATTGGGGTGATGACTACATTAATCTAAGCCTCAGTATTTTCATCTACCAAATAGGTATAATGACAGTTTTTATGGTGGTTGTGAGAATTAAATGAGATGATATGTCTCTAATATCTGGCACAGAGAAATCCTTATATGCACAGCAGTGCTTGGCACCTAGTAAGTCCTATGGCAGTGCTTGTTAATCTTAAAAATTACTATTTTATCCTCCCCCCCTTAATCCAAAGTTTTGCTCAACAAGAATTCGAAGACAACTGGACAGGAACCTCACTTTTCATAAAATGGTTGCATGGATGATTGCACTTCACACTGGTAAGTTTATTATAATATTTGAGCTTTCAAAGAAAACTTGGAACCAAAGATTTCTTTCTATTCTTACCTTTAAAAAATAGGAGGTCAGCTTTTATACACACATTAAGTGGTGGTTACATATGTTGTATTTTTTATGAGTTCTGTTAAAAAATATTCAACCCTCTTTCCATTAATCCAACATTAGGATTTATTCCTTCAAGGCTTAACACTTTCTTATCTTGGGTTCCTCTGATAAAATCCAAGCATCTTCAATTTTTTTTTTGCAATTTTTATATAAAAAATATTGGTTAGTCCACATATGAGAGCTTTTATTCATTCATTTTAAAAAATTCTTGTTTGAACATGTAGATTCTTGGATTTCTTGCAATAACTTTATAGAAGCCACAGCCTATAGAGAATCCCTAATGATAGAGTTTATCATTTAAACACTATATATATATTAGGTAAACAAGTGTTTATATGTATTATATACAATATGTTTTTGAATTATTAAGGTGGTGGTATTAGCACAAGAAGGGTTGTATCTGGCATGGCAACTATCATTAATAATACTGTATTTGAAAATTGCTAAGAGAGTAGATCTTAAATGTTCCCATAACAAGAAAACAATTCTGTAACTGTGTAGTGATGGATGTTTTTGCAATATATACAACTTTTGAATCATTGTGCTATATACCTGAAACTTATGTAATGTAAGTCAATTATATACCAATTTTTTTTAAAAAGTGCTAAAAAAGAAGGGATGGATCTGAGACTCTTATAAAATCTCCATTAGGTCACTTAATAAATAATTGATGTGCCAGACTATAAGCATGCACACATACACAGTGATGAACAAAAAAAGACTTTTACTCTACCCTGAAGGAGTTTGTCCCTGAGTAAAATAGGCTTAGTTCACAGATGTTCAGTTGGATTTCTCATTTCCTACTGATCATGCAGATTTTCTGAGCTATGGCAAATGTAATATTTTAAAAGTGAAATATATGATAAAATCTTGTTAGAAAGCAACATAGTGTAATGGTTAAGAGCACAGATTTGTGGGCCAAACTGCTTGGATTGTATTTTTTAAAAATTCTTTATTGTTTAAATAATTACATGAGCTCCCCCCGCCCATTGATTTCTCCCTTGCCACCCTCTCCTCCAAGCACAAGCATTTGTAATTGGATTTGATTCTTAAACCTGTTAGTTATTAGTTTGGTGACCTTGAGCGAGATTTTACAACAATCAATGCCTCAACTTTCTCATCTGTAAGAAGAGATGATAATAATTATATCTAAATCATTGACTCATGAGGATTAAGTATTTATAAAGCACAGCAGTGCTTGGCACCTAGTAAGTCCTATGGCAGTGCTTGTTAATCAAAGAGTGAAATTTAAAAAAAAAGAGATTAATTATTATGCCCATTGGTTTATATCAGTTTTATATAATTTTGTCATCTCTTTCTGGACTAATGTCAGAGTTCAGTGAATAGAACAGCCAAAGGTATATGTTACATGAGAGTCTCCCTGTTTGAGCATAAATATATCTGGGTAAGAGAGACAATGACAGGACATCTAAGTATCCTCAGAGACCAAGGTTATTTTATAGAATCTTAGAACTTAGTTAACTCTTTAGGATGATACAGTTCAACACCTTCATTTTGCAAATTAGGAAATCCAGATCAGAGATTAAGTGATTTTCCTACACTCACACAACCAGAGAATAGCTTACCCACTAGAATTCCCTTGCCTCTCTGGTCCTGGAGACCCAGTTTTTGTTTATAAGTGTATTGGATCATCCTTGTGTTTCCCTGTAACTTATCACAGAGTTAGAGGCTATAGGCAAACCCAGTTTACAATAAAATTTCCAACACTCTTTACCTTCTTTGTTTCTCTTCTCTGCCCTCTTTAGCAATTCACACCATTGCACATCTATTTAATGTGGAATGGTGTGTGAATGCCAGAGTCAACAATTCTGATCCTTACTCAATAGCACTGTCTGACATTGGAGATAAGCCTGGTGAAACTTACCTCAATTTTGCTCGAATGAGAATAAAGGTAAGCCTCTTATTCCCTGTTTCTGATGTTCCCTACCTAGATCAGAAAAAAATGCCAGGAATACATATCTAGACAAATAAAGTTGGATTTATTACTTTGTTACTTGCTGCAGCAAAAGAAACCTTACACCATGAGGAAATCTGGGGCATCTTAGAAGGATCTTAAGAAGGGCTTGTTATAAGACCTGGCTTGTGTTAGATAATCTGGGAAAGGCTTAAGCAAGCAAGGACTTGCTCTAGATCAGGTATGGTCAGGAATTGGGGGTAGTTTTAGGACTGGTTATCTTCATTCTTTCGAGGGGGCACAAGGGAATAGAATGGGGCTAAATATTTAATAGATAAAGAAGCAGTAGTCACCTGTATTTCTTATACTGGTTCAGACATGATTTTGGAATGGTTTTGTTTTTGCCTCACTCTGTAACAGTCATAGAATGATGCTGGCATTCTATGAAATTCTTTATGTGATATAGGGAACACTCTGGTCTAAGTGTCAGTATCAGGCCAGCCTTTGTTCTTTTTTACCTACAGCATCTAAGGTATGTCCTCCTATGTCTGCTAATTGTCATTCCTTGATAAGTACAGTGCACTGAGAGTAACTTAGCAGTTCTCCAGGGGGATTCACTTGTATTCACAGGAAAGGTCTTCTCCCCTTCCAGCAGTTGAAGCTTCCTATACTCAGAGGGAGAAGCTCCAAGTGGTCTTCATGTGCCCAGTAGCTTGGGATAATGGCCAAATCATATCTCTGTGCACCAAATTTCAAACATGTTTCCTTCTGTTTTGAAAAGATTATAAGAAAAGTCCCTTAATTCTGAAGAAATAATTATCCTTGGATTTGACATGCAAAAAAATTAAGGACAGAATAAAATAATATTAAACAAAACAGAAACTCTTTTTCTGTAATGTGTGGAATAATTTGCTTTATATTGTTCATTGTTTTTGTACAATCATATATAACGGTGGCATTATGAACATACAAGGTAAGCAAGCCAACCAAACTGTGCCCAGATCCCTTTGGATCACTTTTATTGTGTCTGTGCTGTCCCACCATTCTGTGTGCTTTCACTTCCAATATCCTGTATAAGTGTGTCTTCCTCATAGGACCACCCTGGGGTTATTGGGATATTGGAGTCCCTTTACCCACAAGCTCAGAGAGCTAGAAAGACCTGGATAGCTACCTCTCCCTGGGCAGCCCTTACCCAATAACTGATGGATGCAGGCCATGAAAGCCCAACTTCCTTGACTTGAGTCAGGATAAACTCGTGTTGTAACTTACCATTTAGTTTCCCTGCAACATCAGAGGAAAGCTACCCTCTATTAGACTTGGCATGAGATCACTCTTTTACTTAACTTATTCATCTTTCCTGTCCTATTATCCATTCCCTTACCAATTTTTTCTGAATCACAACCTTTCTAAATCACTTGCCTATGAATTCTGATCTCAGGGTCTGCTTTGGGGAAATGCAACCTAAGATGTTAGATATACCCAGAATTTGCAAACAAAGCACTGTGGTCATTTCCAAATTAAAGGGAAAAAGATCTTGAGCTCCTTTTAGGCCAAGATCTTTAGGACAATAGACTAATTTGCTTTATTTGCTACCCCTTTAGAACTATTTCAGTGTACCAATTCATATTTCCTATAACACCTCAACCACATAAGACTTTTTGAAACTGAGAAATATCTATTCCAAGTCTACATCTCTCTGTGAGAGACTGTTAGAATTATGAAAAGGGAATTAAAATACCTATTGCCTTATATACTGGACACTTAATATATAGGTGGATTTGAGAGCCTACAAATAATGTGTATATGTATTTGCATTTTATAGAATCCTGAAGGAGGCCTGTATGTGGCTGTGACTCGGTTGGCAGGCATTACTGGAATTGTCATCACACTGTGCCTCATATTAATTATCACCTCTTCCACCAAAACCATCCGGAGGTCTTACTTTGAAGTATTTTGGTACACACATCATCTTTTTGTGATCTTCTTCATTGGTCTCGCCATCCATGGAGCTGAGTGAGTGTTTAAACTCTAGGGCCAAATATTTTATGTCACACCTTCATTTTCAGGTGTGATGCTCTGTTAGAGGCACAGTGACCTCCTTGTCTGTGTGTGGTCAACTGTCTTCTGAGAGAATATGAGGGGACAACAGAGGTCAGTGTGGTAGAAACCACTCAGCAGCACTTTAGTTTCTTGCACTCAATTTATAGCTATTCACAGTGCTGTTATTTATAACAAAATTTAAAATATAATACATAACAATTTGAGTATCTTTGCAAGCATATAAAAAGTGTTGAGAATGCACATACAGTCTTAGTGTCTGCTATAATGTTTCCTGTGGCTTAATTACTAACATATTAGACAAATTCCAAACTAAAAGAGTTAATGATTAATCGGTTGAAAAAGTTTGCTATAGTTGAAAGTTGTTATTCAAGCCAATCATTTATTGATTGCCTACTGTGTATGAGAACTGATCAAGGCATTGTGAAGAATTCTAGAAGGAAAATACATGGTATTGCCTTCAAACATTCTAATATAAAAGAGTTAACTGCTAGTGAGTATTTGTTATAGACATGAAATGTTTCTTTTAACCCCCAAGAGGTAGGGATGCTCTTAATATACCCATTTTCTGGGGAAATTATAGATGTGGGAACAAGACTAAAAATATAAAATCTGTAGCCCAAGCCACCCAGTTTGTAAGTGGCATAGTTGGGACTGGAGCCTAGGTGGTCTAAGGCACCTCAGAGACACAGTGCCAGAACTTGTGATTGGAAGAGTTTGCCATATTGGTCATCTTAAATGAACAGTTTCTCTTATTATTTTGTAATTTCAACTCTCATTTTGTAATGTGTTACCATATTGCCAGAAGCTCTTTGGGGAGATATCTTTCATTCTTTCTTTCTTTCTTTCTTTCTTTCTTTCTTTCTTTCTTTCTTTCTTTCTTTCTTTCTTTCTTTCTTTTTTCTTTTCTTTTTTTTTTTTGTAATGAATTTCATTGATTTTTTTTAATTATACAAAGGAATAGCTACCTTAAATTTCAGCTCTTTAAAGTACAATTGAGAATGTTTAAATGAGACTTGATCATAATCCAGCTGTTTCAGAGAATCCTAGAGGGGAAAAATGCCCCCTCTCTTATTTAATAATTCCACAATTGTACATTCATATAATTTCATAGATAAGCATATTTCTTGGAGCAGGCAGAGAAGTAATATTTACCCATTTTCTATTTACTACTTATACTGGTGGACTGATTGCTTACAATCTTAGGTGATAGCTGAACTGGGTTTAAAATCCAGGCTTTCTAATTTCTGATCCTGGTTTTGAGAAGGAGAAAATAAAATTATTTTATTTCTTCCTCTCCATGTAAGAGTGGGCATTAAGAACTTAAATAGTTGTCATTTGTTGAACACTTACTTTGTATCTGGAATTTGTTATGCATCATGCCAATTGATTGTTAAACTAAATATTTGATGAGGTCCTAGTGAACCTATTTTATAATTGAGGCTGAGGTTCAAATGATGTACAATACCTTGTCCAAGTTCACCTTGGATTTGAAACCAAGACTGCTTGGCTTGGGTCCAGAACTATTTTCACCAGATCATACTGCTTCTAGTTACTTAGTCTCTCTAAGCCTCATTGTCATCATATGTGAAATGGGAGTATTAATACTTACCTTTTAGGTTTGTTATGGGGATTAAATGAGATAATTTGATACAATGCCTTTTCCTAGGCCAGATATATAATAGATGCTCAATACATGGTAATTTCTTCCCTAAGATCTAGAGATAGAAAGGATGGTTAATGTCCTTGAATTAAAACATTATTAGAATATCACAAATGGCACAATAAATTTTAGGTCCCTAACAAACTTCTACAAAGGGCCTTCTATTTCTCTTCTTATTACATGTTCTGAATACCCTGCTATCTATGTTTCTTGAGGTCAGGGACATGACTTCTTTAACTTTGTGCCTCCCTTGTTATATCCCACTAAGCCTGTATTGTCTTAAGTTTTAGTAGTTGCTCAATTAGTATTTATTGAAGTGAATGGGCTCTGAGCACTTCAAGGGAGAAACCATTAGTGTTCATGTCTGTGAGAATGTCTTAATCTTCACAAAGTTAAGCCATCTTAAATTGAACTCAAACTTTTGATTTAATTTCGATAATTTTGAAACAAATAAAGCACTTGTACCAAGCCTCATGGCTATTGTTTATAACTGCAAGGGTTGTCAGCTACACAAGGGTGCCTGCTCTAGAGTAATAAAATTAGCCCATGTTCTGTAGGACTGGCCTCACAGAGGGAGCATCTTGTTCTAACCTGCATAAAGGCACTACATGGGTTAGCAGTTGATTTATTAGATTTGTAGTTTTTTGTTTGTTTATAAATGAAAGTAATTCTAGAAACAGAAGCACAAATGCTCCCTTTAAGAAAACATATATTGCCAAAACCGGTTTCAGTAGATAGAGCGTTGGCTTGCGGACTGAAGGGTCCCAGGTTCTATTCTGGTCAAGGGCACGTGCGTTGGTTGCGGGCACATCCCTGGTAGGAGGTGTGCAGGAGGCAGCTGATCGGTGATTCTCTCTCATCGATGTTTTTAACTCTCTATCCCTCTCTCTTCTTCTCTGTAGAAAGCCAATAAAATATATTTTAAAAAAACACACATATATTGTTCTAAAACTTCTCCTTTATAAAGTTGCATATAATTATTATTTGTGTCATTGTACATGATTTTTTTTCTACTGCTAAAGATCATATATTTTCTTTCCTTTTCTTTAATCTATTTGGAAGGAGCAATAAGATATAACATTTTAGTGAAAAGCACAAGACACATATTAGAATATTTAAAATGTACCCAGCCCTGGCTGGGTGGTTCAGTTGGTTGGAGCTTTGTCTCATACACCAAAAGGTTTGGGGTTCATTTCCCAGTCAGGGCATATACCTAAGTTACAGGTTTGATCCCTGGTCAGGGTGAGTACAGGAGGCAACACATGCAATAGATGGATGTTTTTCTCTCACATATTGATGTTTTTCTTCTTCTTCACTCTCTAAAATAAATAAAACCATCTTCTCAGTTGAGAATTAATTAAAATATGCACAGACTGTCAAGAAATTTGCTTAATTTCCTACTACTAAATGATCTTTACTTACATTTCTTCTCTAGGCGAATTGTACGTGGGCAGACCCCAAAGAGTTTGCAGGAGCACGATCCAAAAAAATGTTATCAAAACATCTCAGATTGGGGGAAAACAGAGGACTGCCCAGTCCCTCAGTTCTATGGCAACCCTCCTATGGTATGTACAATTCATTGTTGCTGTTACAGTTTCATTACCAAAACCTTCAAAATGTGTCTAAGAAATACATACAAATGTCATGTAGTTGTTCATTATAAATGTCATGGAACTGTGAGAATGTTATAACTATCTACTTTTTTTCTACTGAAATTAGCATAGAATTATTTCTTAAAAAGTAAACTTTGCATTGGTCTTTTATGAATGTCCTGATATAAAAATCAGAAAAGCATTGTTTTTGAAAGTGCTCTTTGGGATCAAGAAGTTCTATCTTTTTTCTTCTGGATGTGAAGATCACAATAATACCAGTTAATGATTTTCAGAGGAATTCCATCATGAGCTGAGTTGGGTAGTTTAGATAATCACGTATAAGGAGCTAGATAGTAAGTCTTTGGATTTTGGAAGGAAATCAATGAGGCGACACATAGGGTTGCCTTTAGGCACCCGGAGGTCCTGTCAATGAGGCAGAAAAAAGGTTGGTCAGCCAGGTTCATACTAACATGCAATGGCATTGCATGGTACAGTGGGAGTGTGGCAAGAGTGACAAAGAGGAAATATGCTCAAACATTTACTTTCTTTTGTTGGGAGTTCCAAAGAACTCCATTTTGTGCATTATTTATTTTTTATTTATTTCTATTTATTGATCATCACCCCAGAAGTGAGGATATTTTTTCCATTGACCCTTCGAGAGAGTAGAAGGGAGTGGGGAGGGGAGAGAGAGAGAAACATTGACATCCATTAGCTGTCTTCCATTTGCTCCTTGACCGGGACTCTGGGATGGAACCTGCATCAGAGGTATGTGCACTTGAATGGGACTCAAACCAGCAACCCTTTGGTCCATTGGCCAATCTCTAACCATTTAGCATACCAGCTAGGGCCATTTTGTGTAATCTTAATATCTCTGTTCTATAGAATTAGAAGTGGGTCCCTCCCCCCACTTTGGAAAGCAGTACACTTTATTGATTATTATTCTAACCATTGGTATAAAGCTAGAAAAAAAATCAACATTTGTATAGGGCTTCTGAGCAGAATTATTTTTTTTTCTTTAAGCCTAGTATAATACAATGGTAAATTTCCCATTTCATTTCATTTCCTCTTTTCTTTTTTCTTGCTCTATTAATATAGGACTACTCTTACTTTAGACACAGCATGTTCTCTGAGATTTAACATCTTTAAGCATCCTTGCTCAATACTGAAAGCAACCAGACACCTCAGGGAACTGTCCCCAGTACCTGAAGACATCAACAGAAATTATAAAAAGGGAACTGTATTTCAGGTTCTCTTTATAAGCAAGATGAAGTCATATTTCCTTGAAGACAGCTGGAGTAAAAGTACTACTATCTTAACAGGCATCTACCTCAGAGGAGCTTCTGGGTTCTGGGGGATATTAGAGGCAATGTCCAAGACCTGGCTCCATTCAATGGAATCCCATGGTGGCACCTAATAAATAAATAGATGGTCCCAGGCTGTTTTTAAAAGCCTGTGCCATGAAAACAAAGGCCAGAAACAGAACAATACTGACTTTTGGGGTAGATATTTTTCAACTGTGGCTAGAGAGGGGAACATTTAGGTGATAGTGCCTTCTAAAACTCTGCTACTTCAGGTATTAAACTAGGTACTCTCAACTTCCAATAAATAGTTTCTAAAAATAATTTAATAGAAAGATCATATGTGAGAGTATGAGAAGCACTTTGTGGTTTTATTTTCTTCTTGGAATCCATTCTGGAATGTCATCTTTTAGATGGTATTTCCTTCTAAAATTCTTTACTACTTCAGGCATTAAACTAGAAACCTAACTTACTGAGTCTAGGAATGGATTTATCTAGCATACATGTTTCCATATAGCCAATAATTCTATAAGGTAATTCTAGTGTTCTGAAACACCACCAATTCTGACAAGAAGAGAATCTAAAAAAAATCTGAAAATCTGTGGGTATGTCCCTATTCAGCAAGTGCATTGCATAGTTCCTAGGAACTTACCAGAATATTGGAGAAACAGTTAAATTCTTACATAAAATTTCTCATCTTGCAAAAGTCTCATTTTGACTACATAACAATTGAAAGCATTTGCAATATTGCATTAAAAATACGGTATTGCTGAAATGCTATCTTTTAGAGAAATGTTGATTCTGAAACCAACCTTGCTCTGCTGTAGGGTTATTGCAGCTGCTGTTGCAATACTAGGAGGAAGTCCCATTCTTGTGCACAGTTCCTCTTTGGAAAGTTTCATACTGTAGATATGAAACTTTATGGCCTTGCACAGTTCCACAATATGACCTTGGAGAATATTCATTTTTACTGGCTCAATGTTTAAATTTAACTTTAGATTTTTTTTTTGCTTTCTATTGTAGAACACATTTACTAATATAAATTATTTTAAAAGGCTACAAAGGTTATCTTGACTTCTAAAATGTTTTGTCCCCGTGAATCTTTTATTAGCTTTCACCCTTTTTAAAAATCTTTCCTTCTGATTATAGACTTGGAAATGGATTGTGGGTCCCATGTTCCTGTACCTCTGTGAGAGGCTTGTACGGTTTTGGAGATCTCAACAGAAGGTGGTCATCACCAAGGTATTAGCTGATTTTAAAAATTACTAATAGAATCTAACTATAGCATGGAAAAATTTCCCCAAGTTCTCTATAACATTGGTCAGAGCTCTTTTTTACTCAGTTTTTTAAAAATTATTATTAAGCTTAGAGCAGAGAGATGAACTAGTTAATTTCAATGCACTTAGCTTGATAATCAAATGGTTGGGTCTTTTAACTGGATAAACTAGAAGTTCACATTTTCTGTTGAAAAATGAATCCAAATGTTTTGTGTAAATGAATGTGGGGTGTGTGTGTGTGTGTGTGTGTGTGTGTGTGTGTGTGTGTAGATGGGAGGGACATAAAATGATAATGTGATTAGTTAAGAGTGTAGAAACAAGAGGAATGCAAAAGAGCATACATTGAGCCTTAAAATATTCAGATGCCAAAAGAACCAGGGAACTTTGGTTGAGGTTGAGATAGCTTCCCAGGTCCCTTTACCTCATTTTCTGTGTTTTGTATGTGATAACAGACTAAAAAATTAAAGTGCCCATAGTCTTAAGCAAGTTACTAACTAAACTGCATCAAGAATTGAGTCTTAAAAAAATAAATAAATAAACTTTCTCTCATTAAAAAAACGAATTGAGTCTCCTAGCTCAAGTATACAGTGGTTTTCTCCCCAATAATCTATGATGCTTCTCATCATTACATTAATAAATAATATCTAGCTAAATAAATAGAAATTTAAATTTATTATTGTTTCAGGAAACACCAGAAAAGAATACACACACACACACACACACACACACACATATATATATATAGTAATAATTAATGTCGTTTTCTAATACTTTTTTAAATCGAATTTATTTAAACAATACAACAAAATTTAATCAACAATATAGTTGCCACTGTTTTCTACTACTTGTGCCCAATGCTCAGGAAGCATTTTAATCCCTCTGTTGTAAAATTCTTGTGATTTTGATGCAAAAAATTCGGTCAATGCATTTTTGAGGCATTCTTCATTATTAAATTTTTTTCCAAGAAGAAAGTTTTGCAAAGAATGAAACAAATGGTAATCGGAAGGGGCAATATCAGGAGAATATGCAGGTTGAGGGAGAACTTCCCATTCCAACTGGCGCAGTTTTTCAGCAGTGATTCTTGCAGTATGCGGTCGTGCATTATCGTGGTGAAGAATTACGCCCTTCCGATTAATCAGCGCGGGTTCTTTTTCTCTTAAAGCTTGGGCTAACCTTTCCAATTGGGCACTATACACTGCACTTGTAATGGTTTGGTTAGATGGTAAAAGTTCATAATGAAGAATTCCTTTAAAATTCCACCAAACACACAACATCACTTTTTTCGCATGCAAGTCAGGTTTTGGCGTGGGCTGTGGAGCCTCATTTTTGTCCAACCATTGAGGCCGCCTTTTCAAATTAACATACAGCACCCATTTTTCATCTTCGGTAACAATTTGCTCTAAAAACGGCAAACGGTTTTGACAAGAGAGGAGCGAACTGCAAATTGTGACTCTTTGATTACGGTTGTTGTCGGTCAACTCATGAGGAACCCATTTTCCAAACTTTTGGACTTTGCCAAGTGCACGCAATTGATTGGAAATTGTTTTTTGTGAACAATTTAAAGTTGTCGCAAGCTCTTGTTGGGTAATTTGAGGATTTTGCACCAAAAGAGCTTGAAGAGCTTCTTGATCAAAATTGGACACACGGCCTCGACCACTCTTGTCATCTAAAGAAAAATTTCCCTCGCGAAATTTCTCAAACCAACGCTGGCATTTTCTGGCGCTAACTGCATCTTGACCAAGAGCACTACAGATGTTTTTTGCAGCCTCACTTGCTTTTCTTCCTAATTGGAACTCATAAAACATGCAGTGCCAAATATGCTCTTCATCCGCCATCTTCTTAGCCCTAGTTTTGCAACAAAAACCAAACCAAACACAAACTTTTTCAAGCAAAAATTGTTAATTGCACTTCACACGTTCTGTAGATACCACGTGTTTGAAGGTTATGTCAATACAAGTCAACGCCAAGCAAGATTTTAAACGAATGTTTAAAAACGACATTAATTATTACTAGACCCGAGATAGATATGTATATATATATATATACATATATATATATATATATATTTAAAGCTACATATAGAAGGTTCATTAGAGCATGTTCTCAGGAGATGAACCTATCAAAGAAAAGAAAGTCAAGATTGGGAAAGGAAAAAGCTGACCCTAAATATGGTTGTATATATATTGATTTCAGAGAGAGGAAGGGAGAGGGAAAGAGAATCATTGATTGGCTGCCTCTGGCATGCTCCTGCCCCCCCCACTAGAGATCCAATCCCCACCCCAGGCATGTGCCATGACCAGGAATTGAACCCTGACCTACTGGGCCATAGGTCAATGCTCAACCACTGAGCCACACTGGCTAGGCAGACAAGACTATTTTTGTCAAATAAAATTTAATTCAATTCAGTTGAGTTCGAAAAGTATTTACCAAAACACTACTATGGCTTATTTTTGCAATATGCACAAATTCTTCCTATCCTTCACCCTAACTTTTCTTTCTTGTCAACTAAGGAAGGTCATAGTAAAGACGGTCCATCTGGCATTAGAAATCTGGACATACAAAAGGTCATAAAAGTTCTCCTTTTATGATACCTATATTGACTATAAGAAAAATCCCATAGATCAACAAAAAAGAGTTTCATTTAAATTTCCCTTCCTAGACTAGAACTCACTAACCAAGTAAGTGTTCCCTTAAACATATTTCTAAGGCAAACTTATTTTCCTTTGAAGAAAATAGACACTAATTTTCTTCTCATATAAACACACTTAAGAAACAATGCATGATCTATAAGTATTTCAGTGATAAAGCTGTCCCCTAGCACATTTTATTAAATTCAATCCTAATTTTGCCTGTGGTAGCAAAATTGCTGTATGGTAAAAATTTGTTTCATCATATAATATTGCAACATGGTAAACAGGATTTTCAAAATAATCTTGATAAATTTTTATTTTCTGTTTTCAAAATGAAGCTTTATAACTATTTTAGTGATGAAGGGAAGTTGGTTACAGCTTTATCATGTAAGATATATTTAAATCACAAGTTTCAAAATGCTTGGCAATTGTTATTAAAAGGAATTCCTATTCTATTCTTTCTCAATGGTGAAAAAAAAAGCTCAGGGAAACTGCTATTTTTTTCTATTTATTTTTCTTCCCTTGTATATCTCTTAATTTGTTTTCAGTTGTACATATGAAGTCTTTCTGAAAAGAAATCATCAAAGAAACAATATATTACTTTCTGTATTGAAATGAAAGCTTTCTATTGTGTCCTATTTTAAAAAATTATTTACTGACTCACCAATTAATGTACATTTGTACTGTTCCCCTCCCCTTTTTGCTATTATAAACAAAGATGTTATCAAATTCCATGTATATGGATTGATGGCAACAGGTAGGTAGGACTTTGAGAAAGATAGTGTATTCCTCAAATAGGGAGAAATGTACAAACAATGCCTAGACTCAGACAGGTTTGAGGTGTGACTCAGGACGAAGGCAGATAAACATAGCCTTGATTTGGAAGATGTTGCTGTAACTCACCAATAGGGTCTTCTTCTTCTATCCAGATGCTAAGGCTCTCATTCCCTGGGGAGACAGGAAGACTGAGCAGGAAACCATCACTTCTTTCTGTTTCTAGCCCCTGCATTGACTTCTTGGAGAAAAAACACGCCGTGATAATAAGCTGGTTCTTAGGTTCAATTCCCTTGTAAGACTCTGAAACAGAAAGCTACATATACAGGGTTTATCGGAGCATGTGCTCAGATGAATCTATCAAAGAAAAGAAAGGCAAGATTGGGAAAGGAAAAAAGCTGACCCTAACTATGGTTGTAATTGCAGTCTCAGATGATCCTACAGAGAGTGCTGGAGTTAGTATGGCCTCTTAGAGTTGTCCCAAATTGAGGAAAGGGGCCAAGCCTCTCTTCTTAGGCATCAGCTTATCATTGGTCATAGGCTACAGCTGAGGCCAATGCCCAATGAGAGAGATATCTGCTGCAAGAAATGCTGTGTTGGCCCTGAAGAAAGGACCTGGGTGTGGCATTTTAGTTCAGCTCATCCATACAGACACTGAAAAGGCAAGTTTTGGGGAAAGTATAGTTTTCAGAGATATGTTTTGTTCTGTAGGTGGTGACTCATCCTTTCAAAACCATCGAACTACAGATGAAGAAGAAGGGATTCAAGATGGAAGTAGGACAATATATTTTTGTCAAGTGTCCCAAGGTTTCCAAGCTGGAATGGCACCCTTTCACACTGACCTCTGCACCTGAGGAAGACTTTTTTAGCATCCATATCCGCATTGTTGGGGACTGGACAGAGGGACTGTTCAATGCTTGTGGCTGTGATAAGCAGGAGTTTCAAGATGCCTGGAAATTACCTAAGTGAGTATAAAGCACATATAACAAAAGTGTATGAGTTCAGGAAAAATGACACTAAATAGCTCCTCTTCCCCCATCTCTCACTATCTCCTGAGTTTGACAAAATACATAGGTTCTACAAATATAGGTAGCTATCTGTATGTTCACCATTTTATGTGTGTGGTGTATTTTTTCACATATTTATAAATATTATATGAAAGGTAAAAAAATATTTGAATCAAATATTAATAATTAACATTCCCAAATCCCTTTCAATATATATGGATCAAGGCCAAGGTATATTAACCTTTCTAACAAGCAAACATAGTATATTAAAGATGTTTTTAAAATATAATTGGTGCAGTGAAACCAAGATGGCAACACAGGTAAACAGTTAAACTGCTGCCTTGCACAACAATTTCAAAACTACAACTAAAAGACAAAATAGACATCATCCAGAACCACAGGAAGGCTGGATGAGTGGAAATTCTACAACTAGAAGGAAAGAGAAAAGCACACTGAGACTCAGAGGAGCTGTGGGAGGCAGAGGTACTGAGACTCAAGCACGGAGAGAACTGGCAACTGAGTGCATGGCTGGCTTTCTCAAGAGGCAGGGAGACAAAAGCTCCTGACTGCACTGAACTCCAGTTCCAGGTGAGACTCTGGGGAATCAAAATCATTTGGGGAGAAACTTTACTGTCTGGCAGTGGGCAGAACGCCAGGGCAGCTTTCTCTCAGAGGTGCTTACAACGATTACCATGGGACCCTGAGACACAGGAGCCTATTGGGGCACAGCTGATGGGAAACCAATGCTGTCTGCTCCACCCTGAGATCTGCACCATCCAAGTTGAGCACAAAGGCTTTTGCAGGTCTTTGTGTCTCCAGCACAGAAGTTCTCCCAGCGTAGACACAGCTGATCCTCACAGCTAATTGGCCTGGAGGTCAATTCCTCCCAGTGATACCAACAACAATCAAGGTTTAACTACAAGACTGCACACAGACCACAAAGGGGTGCACCAAGAATGTCCACATCAGGTAACTGGGGAGGCTGAGCCACTGGACCCTATAGGACACCTAGCATACAAAGCCACTCTATCAACTCAGGGAAGCAGCCAAAATGCAGAGACAAAGGAACAGATTACAAATGAACAAAATGGAGGGAAGCAAACTATAGGATATAGAGTTCAAAACCACATTAAAAGCAGCAAGAGTGGCAAGAAATATTCAAAGTGATGAACAGCAAGACCCTACAACCAAGAGTACTCTACCCAGCAAAGCTATCATTCAGAATTGAAGGTCAAATAAAGAGCTTCACAGACAAGAAAAAGCTAAAGGAGTTTATCACCACCAAACTAGTATTATATTAAATGCTGATAGGTATTATTTAAGAAGAGGAAGAAGAAGAAAAAGGTAAAGATAAAAATTATGAACAACAAATACATATCTATCAACAAGTGAATCTAAAATCAAGTGAATAAAATAAATCTGATGAACAGGATAAACTGGTGAATATAATAGAATCAGGGGCATAGAAAGGGAGTGGACTGACAGACAATTCACAGGGGGAAAGAGGTATTGGGGGTACAGAAAAAAACAGGACAAAAATCATACACCTATGTTTGAGAACAGTGGGGGATAGTAAGGGCAGAGGATGGGGTGGGAACCAGGTTGAGGGGAGCTCTGGGGGATAATGAGGAACAATTGTAATAATCTGTACAATAAAGATTTATTAAATTAAAAAAATAGTATATAATTGGTGCATGTTATTTGAGAGTAAATGCCATTTATCATTCATTTTACCTCCTTCTCCTCATATGCCTAACATGGTATTAGGCACTTAGTGGATGCTGAAAAAAAGTTTGTTGAATAACTCAGTGAATACACAAATGAAAATTGGACACATTAAAGCTACAAGATGTTTTGATATAGAAATTTCTCACTTTAATTCAATGTGTAATATAAGCAGAAATTTCAAGCATGGGACACTCTGACAAGAAATATAGAAATGTGTGTATGTGAGGAGGCTGTGAGTGAAGAAGGATGAGGAGATGAACAAAATACCCTTGAGAATTACCAAATGTTTTCAATAAGCTAAGAATTCCTACTTCAAACTCCAATGTTCATACTAAGTTGGTTACTTGAAAGCTGTTTCACAAAGTAAAGTGTTCCAAATCCTGGTTTGAAGTGACATATTGCAAACCCCTAGGAATATTATGTGCCCCATCACACTCTGAAGAGTAGGATATGTCTGTAACCATCTCCTCTTATGCTTCCCTTCAGGATAGCTGTTGATGGACCCTTTGGCACAGCCAGCGAAGATGTGTTCAGCTATGAAGTGGTGATGTTAGTGGGAGCAGGGATTGGGGTCACACCCTTTGCATCCATTCTCAAGTCAGTCTGGTACAAATATTGCAATAATGCCACCAATCTGAGGCTCAAAAAGGTAGGTTCCATTATTGTTGAGAGGGCTTGGAGCATTCGGTTATACTCTGGCAGGTGAAGCCTGAGAGAGCCTTTGTGGCTGAGGGTGGCAGGGACCAAGGGAAGTGTAGGCCCATTAGTAAAAATAGTATACTGAATTTGTATATTATATATGGAATAGTACATTACAAGAAATTTGGAAGAAAGAAAGTTGGAGTAGAGAGAAAGTATTTACAATCCCAATCCAATAGCTATCCTTGTTTGTATATTCTCTTTCAATATTCCCCACATGTTTACGTATTTTTAGAAAATTGTAAATAATGCAGATGTAAAATTTCATGTCCTGTTTTTCTAGAAACAGTGTTTTTCTATGTTGCTGCAGGCTTAATGATCATTTTAATGATTTCTTTATGTTCCATTGAGAGGATATAGGATATTTTTTCTATCATCCTAGGTTAGTGACCAAGATCAATTTCATTTTCAGCATACCAATACTTTTGTTGCAGGAAGAGGGCAGGAGACATGCCTTTCATGTAACTTTTACTTTCTTAGGATAACTCTTCAGAATAATTTCCCAGAGGATTTTTTTATTGTCCCATGTAAATTTGGTTTCATTATATGATAAAGGACATCTTTAATGAAATGAGACATTCTAATAACCCTAGATATTACATCTAATGGGAACATTAAACTTATCATGACTTTTAATTCTCCCCTTTTTCTATTTTCTATGTGAGGAAGGTTTGGGTAGAAATATTTTTTTCCTTAGGAACTCAGGAATTTCTGATAGTAGCAGACAGGGGATTAGTCCTGTGATTTGAGGTTCTAGATTAGTCTAGATTGTAGTGGTCTTTCTGAAAGGAGGTATGAGGGAATCCAGAAATTCTGTGAAGACAGGAACAAACCCAGAGAGAAAGAGTTGAGCTAATATTTTTCTTAAACTTTGTATGTTTGAAGCCAAGCTATTCATTTATTACCTGGCCAATATGAAGGCCAGAGCAAGTTCATGTGAACTAGCTTGTCAAATGTCTAGAGCTTTCTAAAAACTTCTTTCTAAACCTTTTGAGCAACAAGAAAAAGTTGGGAAGAGGTAAGTAATCCATGTGTCAAGACTGACAGGGCCTACCCTATATAATAAAGAGCTAATGTGCAAATGGTCATTGTATCCTCGAGCCCTCATGCCCTTGTACCTCAGCTGAGGTGGGAGGGGATGAGGCTGGGCCAGGGGACTTGAGGCTGTGCCCCCACCCTGGTACCGGGGCCAGAGGAACCTGAGGCCATGCCCCCCACCTGGAGGGGCTTGATGGGGGACCTGAGGCTGTGCCCTCCTGCCCAGCGGGTCTTGACTGGGGTGGGGCCAGCCAGGTCTTGATCTCACATGATTTCCAGGCACATGCAGGTGGGCGGGACTTGACTCTGGGCCCCACAGTGTGCCCCAGACTCTGACAGGAAGGAGATTTTCATATACATTTTACTAATTTTTTTTCATCTCTGACACTTCTATTATAGAGAAAGAGCAAATAGCAATATTAAAATATTTCCTCTAATTAATTCCCTTTTAATATGCGTGAATTTCATGCACCAGGCCACTAGTTTAAATATAATCTGCTTTATGATCTGTCTTCTTTCAGATCTACTTCTACTGGCTCTGCCGGGACACACATGCCTTTGAGTGGTTTGCAGACTTGCTCCAGCTGCTGGAGACCCAGATGCAGGAGAGAAACAATCCTGGCTTCCTCAGCTATAACATCTACCTCACTGGCTGGGATGAGTCACAGGTGAGGACAAGATCTCAAATTTCAGATCATTCCCACAGTGCCGAGGGCTTACTGACTTCCCTTTGGCTATTGCAGTGTCTTCTGCACTGTTTTTACTAAGAACAGTTGATTGATTCTGGTGATTCAACCCATTCACTCTCACTCAATATCCCCACACATTCAGACTGTTGAGATGATATTTTAAAGTTGATATCTCTGGAACAGATCAAAGCTAAGTTGCTGACAAGGAATAAAAGCCAAGACTAACCTTATAAGATAAATGACACCACAAGGGGTCTCAAACAAGGTAGACCAGAGGATCCACAGGGTAATGAGAAGATAGTATTAGTTCTCTTTCTCTTTATATCTACACACATATACATACATATCTTTAATTTCCAGTGTATGCATGTTTTATAATATACATAATACATATACTATGTGCCAGGTATTCTTTTATTTAAAAAAATACATTTTTATTGATTTCAGAGAGAGGAAGGGAAAGAGAGAGAGAGATAGAAATATCCATGAGACAGAAACATCAATTGGGTGCCTCCTGCATGCTCCCTATTGGTGATAGAGCCAACCTGGGCATGTTCCCTGACCAGCAATCAAACTGTGACTCCTGGTACATGGGTTAACACTCAACCACTGAGCAACACTGGTCAGGCCCTAATAGTGTTCTTAATGTTTATATAGTTTGTCCAATTGAATCCTCACAACAACCCTATGAAGTAACCACTATTATTTATCCACATTTCACAGATGAGGAAACCAAGGCCCAGAACAAGTTAGGTCATTTTTCCAAGAGTATCCAATTAGTAATTAGCAGAGTCACAATGTTCCAGAGCAGCACTCTTAGCAACTTCTAGTAGTTTGCTATTATCATTTGTAGATAAAACAAAATATATCTAACAAAGGTGGCATATATATGTCACATATATATAATATATGTGTCATATATATAACACACACATATATAATATATATATGTATGTATATATGCTTGTATATGTATGCATCTCCTCCCTCCAGGGACATTTAGCAATGTAAGCATTCTACAATTCACAAAACAACCCTTCACAACAAAGAATTATCTAGTGCTACATGACAAAAGAGCTTCAATTGAGAAACTCTAAAACAAGTTAATTCCAAGAGGAGAGCATTTATAAATAAGCAAACATTAATGACTTGCATGGAAACAGCATAAGTTGTCACTCTGAGAGAAGAGCTACAGCAAGAGTCTATGCCTATTCCTGTGTCTCAGTGGCTCCTCAATCCTGGGCACCTTTTCCATGCACCATGTACCTTGAAAATTGACTTTTTCTCATTTGGGTTTTGGCATATTGTTTAGCATAAATTCTCCAAGTCTTAGAAGAGTCTTGTTGCAAATGGGCCAGGGACACATAACAATGAAAATTGCTAGTCCATAAAAATGGTTTTAAGATGCAACTTCTGCAATTTAAAAACAAAACAACAACAAATACTTGATAAAAAGTGAAACAGAGGAAAAAAAAAAACACATGAAAATAAAGAAGAAAAAAAAAATAAACCCAGAAAAAACTCTATAATATATAAATTGTTTTTGCAGTTTTGATATTTAAAAAGCCAGATAAAGTTTTTGATGGGAAATTTATTTGTATTGAAAAAGAATTATTTTTGCTTTGCAAAAATAGTCTCTATAGGATTATTAAACCAAAATAACCACCCTTCTTCATTCATCCCCTGCCCAGAGAATGTAAAATCTGATTTAATTTTAAAATACATTTAATTAGCTGCTTTTATGAAAAATATCTATGTTCAAACTGAAGATCCCTAAAATGGTAGCAGAAATCAATATGTGACATATACACACAAACACACACACACACACAGCTTTAGGCTTGATTTGATGTCTCATGATGTTATCAAAATATGAGTGCATTTTAGTCAATGGTTGTTTTAAATCTTAGTGATTCCCCTAAAGAAGTGGGAATGGAAATATATTAGTGCAAAGAAAGAAAGTACCAATAGAACAGATGAGATACAGAACCAAAAGAAAAACAAGTGAGACAGAAAATTTGAATCCTAGCCACACTTCAAAGACTGAATCAAATGCTGCCACCCTGAAACCATCCTATAGCCTCCTACCCCAACTCCCTCCTTTGCTCTCATTGAGATGTTTGTGTCTCTTCCAAAGCACTCATCATACCCTATTCTATAAATATGATTATTCATGTTGATATTTCAAGGTATGCCCTCCTAGTTTATAAATTGCATGAGGAGACCTAGTTTTTTCTTTTCTTCTTCTTTTTTTTAATCCTCATCGAAGGTATTTTTTCCATTAATTTTTAGAGAGTGGAAGGGAGGAAGGAGGGGGAAGAGAAAGAATCATCCACATGAGAGACACATTGATTGGTTGCCTCCCTCATTAGCCCCGACCAGGCTGATGCTCTAGCCACTGTGCAACTGGCTAGGGCTGTTGATCTTTTTTATCTTCTACCCTACAGCATGCTTTACTCCAAATGTATGGGTCATTTGCCCTTGCTTTGTGATATATGTAAATATTTCAGAAAAAAATAAACATGTTTCTACAGCATGTCTTTTTTTTTTTTTCTGAATTCATTTCCTATCCTGCAGGCTAATCACTTTGCTGTGCACCATGACGAAGAGAAAGATGTCATCACAGGCTTGAAACAAAAGACTTTGTATGGACGGCCCAACTGGGATAATGAGTTCAAGACAATTGCGAGTCAACACCCAAAGTAAGGCATTTTCTGCTTCAAGGTGTTCTTGAGGCTTGTGGTCTGTCTAAAAGCAGCAGCTCCCAAATATGGCTATATTTGTATATTGAAAATAAAACTACCCAGATTCTTATATTTACACCTAATGGAAGGTTCTACATATCTCTGACTTCAAGATGAGTCTTTCAATCACATCAAAATTACCTGGAGAGTTATTAGAAACAAAGATTCTCAGGCCCCCACCTTGGATATTCTGAATCCTGTTCCTCCCAAGTAGGACCATAAATTGGTTCTTTTCTTTCACCTTCTAAATTTCACTAGTGTCTCTACTGCTTTTAATTCAATACAATTTATACATATTAAGGAGACTGTCCCCACTTTCAGTTTTAGCTTTTGGGTCTAAAATCATAAATTGACAGACATCCCAAGATCCTTTCTGCCCTCACTAAAGCTTTAGTCATCAAGAAACTTTGAAGGGATCCTTTATCTTGCTGGAATACATTATAAATTCAAGAAATCTCTGCAAATATACCCTTAAGGTGATTGCTTACACTTTAATGAGCTTATGAATCACTCGAAGGATCTTTTCAAAATACAGGCACTGATTTAATAATCCAAGAATCTGCATTATTAAAAACTGTCACTGAGGCGACTGGTCTGAAACCACTCCTTGCAGGAATTCAGACTCCGAAATGTAAAAAAATAAAGCCACACCAAGCTGTGGGCAGAGTTGGTGTACTTAAAGTGGATTTGTTCCTGATTTCAGGATGCTGGGGAGGGTTGGGAAGACACAGAGCTCTGAAGGGAAGTAGCTCACAGACTCACAAATTCACCATTTTTTTTTTTATGTAGAGGTTTCTATAAACCTTGCTTGAATGTCATTTTCCAGAGAAGTTAACTGCCATTTTAGTATCTTGCTGCCCTCACAAACAGGGCTGAGCAGCTCTCCCACAGGGCAATCTAAACCCAGCCATTTGTGCAAAAGAAAAAGGAACAGAGAGGCTCTGCCCCGAGGCCTAAAACCATTTGGAGATCCCCCTAGGAGCTGTGTAATCTATGGCATCCCAAAACCTGAAACTGTCTTTTCTTTCTTTCCTCAAAGTACCAGAATAGGAGTTTTCCTCTGTGGACCTGAAGCCTTGGCTGAAACCCTCAGTAAACAAAGCATCACCAACTCTGAGTCTGGCCCTCGGGGAGTACATTTCATTTTCAATAAGGAAAACTTCTAATTGGTTTCTTTCATGAGAAAATATATGTGTGTTATACTATTGAATGCCCAAATAATGCTAGTTGATTATGTAAGTTCCCCCCTTAAAAATGGAAAAAAAGAAATTCTAATGTGAAGGTTTTCCCTGAAAAGAATGTCAGATTGTTTGGTTGTGATAATTTGCATTTGAATGGGGCTTTATCGTTTTCAGATCACTTTTAAAAACATTTTTTTTTTCCTATCACTCATGCCAGAGAAAGGTAGGGCAAGGATTCCTGGAGTTAGTTTTTAGGATAAAAAACAAAACGGGGACTCAAATGATGAAGTAACTTCCTGAAGTTTATGAAGCTAGGATGCATCTAGGCCATCTGACTCCAGATTTATTAGTCTTCCCATAATACCAGGCTACCTGGAAATGGGTTTGTATATTCCCCAAAGGGAGAAGCAAACCAGAAAGTAGCTATTCATTTTCCATTTTGTATCATCCTTGTTCTCATTGTTGTCATGTGGAAGGAAATAATGTATGCTGAGAGTGACTTAACACTTAACATTAACATGATTGACATTTGTGCATACTTCAGTTTACCAATAGATCATATTAATTGTGTCAGATATTCTTCTTACAAAAGAATATTAGATTAACTGGAATTGATGTATTACCCAGCATATACAATCATGCTTGGCAAAGAGTAGATAGATACTCAATGAAAATCTATTGAATGAATGAATGAAAAGACATTTAGAACCATATAATGCCAGGGTAAAATTAATTTAAAACCTTACAAAGAATTCTCTAAAGAAATAATTTCTGTTACTCTTATAGGCCAAAGCAACATGATGCTCCTGAAGGTAGGGAACAGGCTAAGGATAGTAACCAATAGGGTTTCCTGGAGGTTCCCTCACATTCATATTTGAAGCATTGAGAGAAGGTAGATGGAGGCAGAGAAAGAACCTTTTACTGTAACGCAAGCTGGTTTCTCTAGTCTTGCTGTCTGTGTTATGAAAGAAATGCAAAATGAAATGATCTCCAACCATCACTTGTGAATTTAAAATTAAGAATTATGACAAATATGTATCTGATATGTCCATCTGCTTTAAATAACATTATCCCTTGTTTTACTTAAATACTCACATACAAAAATGGTTCTTATTGTGTGACTAATGATTTATTGTTTTGTCATCATCGTCACCATGAAATTTATATCCTAGAAACTAAAATACCCAGCTTATCATGTAGGTATTGAATTCACACTCAATAGAATGTTCTCGATATCTATGTGTTCAAAAGAGAGTCTCCAAATCATTGTTAATATGGCCAGAAACATTTTTTCTTTTGCTCTTGTATCCGTGAACTAAAAAGTTTTCTTGGCCCAACCCTCTGGAGCCACAGATATTTAAAATTATTCAACTTCAGTAAGGAGGAAGAAAGAAAACTAAGCACGGGGAAAGGCAGAAGACGTGGTTTGGAAGAAATGGGCTGGAAGGAGAAAAGAAAATAGAAGAATGAGAGAAAGTTAAAAAGGCAAAAGGTTAGGTTAGGGGAAAGGGACCTCACATTGTTCAGTTTCTACCCCAGACTTAAAAGTCTTATATGTAATGAATGTAATTGAAGGAAGCATGCACATACTCATTTTATTTTTATTACATATGATATTGAATATGAAATTCTTATTACAAATTTTGATATGAGTGAGCATTTTAAGGGTACTGGGATGAACTAGTAAGAACTCAGTTGTTCTTTTGGGTTGTCAGGATGACCAGGACCCTAACAAGTCAGGTCTGCTGCTGGTATGTCATCTTCCCAAAATGTCCCAGGAAAGTTTCCACGTAGGTTCAGCCTGCTCACATTGCATATTCATTCATTTAACAAATCCATTCATTTAACAAATTTTTATTGTGCTATTACAATGACTATGGCTCTGTCTTCCTGTTTTCAATCCTTGACACCAAGTGTGAGGAAAGGGGGAACAACATTTATAAGGAATCTTGGCTACCACTAACCTATTGTAACATAAATAAAATCAACTCCATTGTTGCTCTGGCACTCTAAAGGGTCTTCTCCCTTTAGCACCTACATGGTTACTAAAATTGAGAAATCTGTCCTGTGTTATCCTGGTTATGAGATTTAAAAAAATGAGTATAAAAGCGCTTGTCATTTTTAGAGCTTTCTTCTTCATGCTTCTTCCAAACCACCAGTGCATCTTTTTATTAACGTTTAGTATTTAGCATTTAGTAACAGTACTGAGAGAATAACTAAGCATTGTTTTAATCTCAAGGCTCTAAAGACCTTTCTTAGTTCTTTGGTTTTTGCAATATTGCTTTTATGAAATTTGAATGCTTGTAGGTATGGTATGTGATTATCCTGGGGGTTCCTGGGAGATAATTCTTAGGAAAAACTATTGAAACTGTACTCAATATTAAAATTAATGAACTCTTTTGGTGTCTGTGTTGTTGATCTTTGTGTTAAAGGGTGGATTCAGATAGCAAAGATTTTTTTTTTCCTGCCCCGGTGGAGTTGAGATTCCCTATGTTTTTGTATATGACATACAAATATTGCACAATTTATGGACTGGGAAGGGAAAACTGAGTATAGAGTTCTGTGCTACTGTCCTGGTGACCCTCACATCAATGATATAAGGAACAAGGAAGTATCACCTCACATCAGAATTTAAAAGGCAAAGAAGTCCTAGCATAAGGCCTTTTTTTTTTCATTTCCTTTTGGATTCTAACTATGCAATTAAGTGTCATCAAATCAGATTGTGAATATATATACACTAGAGGCCTGGTGCACAAAATTCATGCATGGTGGGGAGGGGGTCCCATCAGCCCAGCCTATATGTTGTCTAATTTGGGACCCCTTGGGGGATCAGGCCTAAACCAGCAGTCAGACATTCCTCTCACAATCCTGGACTGCTGGCTCCTAATCGCTCACCTGCCTACATTCCTGGTTGCCCCTAATTGTTCCACCCTGCCAGCCTGATTGCCCCTAACTGCCCCCCCACTGCCAGCTATGTCACCTACAAATGCCCCCCCTGCCAGCCTGGTCACCACTTACTGCCCCCCCCCGCCATCCTGGTTGTCCCTAACTACTCCCCATGCCAGCCTAATTGTTCCCAACTGCCCCCCCCGATGGCCTGGTCACCCCCAACTGCCCCCCGCTACCAGCCTGGTCACCTCATACTGCTCCCCATGCTGGCCTAGTCGCCCCCACTGCCTCTCCTGCTGGCCTAGTTGTCCCTCACAGCCCTCCACCCCCACCCCCTGCAAGCCTGGTCACCCCATACAGCCTGCTTGTTCAGTGGGCCTGGTTGTAAGCAGCTATATTGTGAGGGTGTGACAGTCAATTTGCATATTACCTCTTTATTATATAGGATATGGTTCTGTGTTGGCCATTCTTCTAAATGAGTCAACCAGTTACGATCTTCACTGTCTAGCACAGTGGTCAGCAAACTGCGGCTCACAAACCACATGTGGCTCTTTGGGCCCTTGAGTGTGGCTCTTCCACAAAATACCACATGTGGGTGCGCACATACAGTGCGATTGAAACTTCATGGCCCATGCACAGAAGTCCATTTTTGGCTCTCAAAAGAAATTTCAATGGTTGTACTGTTGATATTTGGCTCTGTTGACTAATGAGTTTGCCGACCACTGGTCTAAGAAATGGATAAAGGCATAGGCATATATTCCTGTGGGAATCAGCAAATTCTGCCATGGTGGCTAAGGACATTACCTGAAACAAGTGTCAATAATAGAAATAGTTAACATTTAGTAAATACCTTCAACTATGTCAAATATTTTACATACACTTCAACTAATCACTCAGGACACTGCAAAGTAGTCGTTTTATCTCAATCTTATTGGTAAAAAGAAAACTGAAGCTGAGTGAGGATAAACAGGCACAAGCTATCCCACAACTGCTGGGTGACTGTGTCAACATTAAATCTACATTTTTCTGGCAAAAAATTGTCCATTTTCTTTGTATTGCACTAACAGATTAGACAAGATATAAATAACCAAGGATAATTTCAAAGCTATTGTGCTAGGTACAGATTATTTACTAAGAATAGCTGGGTAACAATGGTGGTGTAAACCTGTTTTATGCCATCTAAATATCATGATATCTCAGTGTAGCAACACTGATTAATCCAATTCTTGTTAATTTTTACTTTTATTTATTTTGAATTTTTTCAGCTTTATTGAGATATAATTGACAAGATTGTAAGATTTTTAAAGCATACAATGTGATAATTCACCAAATAATGTTTTCCCAAACAATAATAATTTTTACCCATCTATATATATAAAAACCTCTGGAGTTTGACCGATTGGGAGTTTCTCTTGCTATGATGTGCACTGACCACCAGGGGGCAGCACAAAAATGAAGGAAGGCCCTTGCCGGCAGCTGGCAGCTACTAGGGACCCTACCCATGCACAAATTTCCTGCACTGGGCTTCTAGTATAACAGTAATGCAGTGAGCCAGTCTAAGAAATCTAACACTGATACAAACTATCATTTAGTTTACAGTCATATATAGGTGACACTGTATCCTTAGTGTATTGCATTAGAAGGTAAGTATTGTCAGTCTGTCCTGTTATTGGTAGTATGAAGTTTAATCACCAGATTTCTCTGTTATAAATGTAAATGTATTATTTTACTTTTGTAAGTGGTAAGAAACATTTGGGGAATATTTTGTGACCATAAAAATATTTTCTCCAATAACTTTTTACCCAGTCATTTTAGCATATAAAAATCATATCATCTACAAACAAAGACAATTTTACTTCTTCCTTTTTTATTTCATGCTGTTTATTTACTAGCATTTTTCTTGCCTGATTGCTCTGGCTAGGACTTCCATTACTATGTTGAATAGGAGCAATGACAGTGAGTACTTTAGTTTCTGATTTTAAAAGAAAAGCTTTAAAATTTTTACCACTGTGTATGATCTTAGCTGTTGGCTTATCATATATGGCCATTATTATGTTGAGGTATGTTTCTTCTATATCCATGTGTTGAGCATTTTT